AAAAAAAAAACGTATTTTTTGATTATGACAGTGGTTTATTTTATAATTCGAATGTACTTTTACCAAACATAATAGAAGATACATAAAAGGACAACGCATGTTTATAAAATTAGTTCAGACTTCAGAATAATACAAGATAGATACAACCTACCTTTACTTATCAAAATCTATAGGTTTTTTCTTTTCTTTTTTTTTAATCTCTTTACAAAATATTTTAAAGGAGTTTAAAATAAAATCTATACGTAGATAAATACTATTTATTATATCCTAAATATTGCATTAGACAAGATTAGATTTGTGGATAAAATCACATACAAAACAAATGCACCCATTAATTTTTAGGAATGAAATACGAGTAGCTAAACAAAATTGAATTTGAAAGTATAAATTGACTCCGTTTATGCGGCCTTTAGCTTTATATATTTTTTTACAAAATTTAAGACTATGTCTCTATACATAATACCACCTGAATTTAATATTCAATTTATAGAAATGGAGAATGAAATTTACATTTTTYTTGGTTTGCACTATACAAAGACATGTTGTGTTTTAAACGAAATTAAATGACAGACAGTATCATTAGATTCTAAGAGGATAACGGAGGCTAGATTAATAAGATGATATTGATTTATAATTTCATGTTATTTTTTCTAAATAGAAAAATAATGTTATTTGTATAATTAACATATTTTAATTAGATTTTATTATATATAAAGAGTAGACAAACAGACACTGGCTAATTATTAGAATTTATTTAATTATAAAAATACTTGTACCTACATATTATTATGTTAGCTTAATTTCTTTATTTTTTAACAAACCGATGACTATAATTTTTTTACTCATTTTATTTTAGACCATCATCAATTTTGTCAAATTTAAAAAAAGTAGTTAGGTATGGCCTTTAAAAATACTTATTTATTGACTATTTGACTATTTGTTCAAGGTAATTTCAATTCGATCGGTAACTTTAATAATAAGACCTCATAATGATCTTGCGTTTAAAAAAATTGTGTATTTTCTATCATAATATAGTCCAGGACATTTTAAACTTGTTTGTATAAATATTTATTAAAGTATAAGCGGAAAATCAATCTCTTATAGGTGATAGGCAATAGCAACTGGTATAGCAATCATTAAAAAAATATTTTTGAAAACTAGTTACATTAAATTAAGCTGGCTATACGTCATTTAATATAATATAAAAATAGTAAAATGGATTCAGAGAACATATATTATGACTTTGTTTGGCATGGTGGAATATCTATACGCTTAAAACTTGTAGGTGCGCTCGCATAATAGTATAAATAATACTATCTTCTTTTTTTGTTATTATTATAAGATTTTTAACACCAAACTTTATAAACATTTAAATAAAAGTTGTATAGTTCATCATCATTAAATAAAATAATTACAATTTTGATCAAAATTCGATTGTACCGGTCTATCAAGCCATTTTGATCCCATTGAAATAATTAAATAATCGACTGGAAAAATGTATTATTTTCTAGTTATTATGCACAATATTATATTAATTTTATAATGTACTTATCCTTAATTTATGATTCTTTCGTAATGAATTGACAAAAWTAATTTAAAATACTTGACAATTTGTAAATCTTTGAAAACTATATACCGTTTTCTCTGTATCTTTATGCACATATTGACAATTTTTAAATATGTAAAAATTTTCATCTTCTACAATATTTTTATGCATTACAATTAATGGCATTACTAAAATTACCGTTTATATTTTAATGTAATCTTTTCTTTAACAATATAATTATTGCAAATAATATAAACTGTTAAGTATTTCAAATATAAATATTTTTACTGTATGCGTTGTTTACGTTGTTTGGAAAATATGTATAAGTATCTTGTCTATAACGATTGCACGTGAAAATAAAATATGTAACTTACGACAATTCAGTAACTCGCGATGATATAAGATTACTGCGTTTCTGGTGTAGGTTTTTTAATATTATCAATCAATCGTTCACACCTCGATTTGTTTTCAGACCTGTGCGTGTGCGACATGGAAGCATTGGATTTGCATACACAGAACGCCGCGCCGCCGGAGGGCAAAGAAGATGGCAGAACAGTGATGGGCATAAWAATAAATAAAATTATGATATTGAAATAAAAGAAGACTACCTATTCACGCGCGGGCATYGTACACACTTAACGGGTCGTCCTTTTGTGGTAATAACAAATTAATCGATGATGTAGTCAGCGTAATGTGAAAACGAAATTTTAACGGTGAAATGTCGCAGGTATAAGATTGTGACGACGAAGACGACGTCGACCGAATCATACGCTGTCAACCCGTATTATTTCAGTGGTTCTGAATCTTGTCGACCTTGCATCGCCAAATTCATAAGCACATAATAATAATCATACTAACCATAACACATAATATTATTATTCATATAGGTAATATAATATGTACCGCATGTATCAACGGTAATATATTTTGTGTATTATGTATTTTCGTATTGCACGCAAACGCCGGCAGTGCGCACCTGGGCCGCCCAGTCTGAATGCTGCATTATCCTACAAATCACTTTCACCTCTCGCGATACTGGACCAAGAGCTTTGGCACAGTTAGTGCACGCCACTTGTCGTCACCGGCCGGCATATCAGCGGAGAACACATTAATTTAATCCATCCGAACTGTGATATTTACATTTTTTTTACACGTAAGTATAAACAATATTATATATGTATATTTATTATGTTTTAAATGTTATTATTGAATAATAGCAATACTATGAATAATGAATATGAAAAAAAAAACAAGTTATGTCGTGTTAATATTTATAAATAATAATAAAACTTATAATACTAATAAAATTTATATACCATGTTATAGTGTGTATTGGGTATATTGATAACTGTGGTTGACAATCGTTTAACGTCTACCTGCAAACATGTAGTTTTAAATTTTTTTTTTTAGTTAAGCATCGATAAAATTCGAGTATTATTATTTTTTGTAGTTGAATGGTTTCATGTTAAAATGACACAATGGAAAACTTCATTTGTTTTTTTTTTAAAAAAGTAAAATTTTAATATTCAGAAATAACTCGATGAATAAATTATTAATATAAAATAAATTATCATTTATCCATCAATGATGAATATATTCATTTATATTTTTTAACGTAAAATATCTCTATTATCTATATTATATTCTTAAAATGAAACCAGCAATTTATTAGCTTATCGATTATTTCAGAAAAACAGTTTAAACATTTTACTAACTTACTACTTAATCATTAAATAAGCATGCAAATTAGTATAAATTTGTTTAATTAAAAATGAAAATCATGAATAAAATAATGTTATTCAATTTACAATATTGTACGGCCACAATTATATACTAATACAAATATACTATATACATATACATAATTATTATATCATTGTATGCTCTTAAATTCAAAAAAAAATTACATTGTAGTATTGTAATCACTATTAACTTAGTTTAGTTTAATAAGTAACTACCGAAACTATTCTATTAACGTAGTCAATAATTATAGTAAAAAATAATAAATAATAGTAACAACCATTTTAAATTACTTCGTTAAAAAAAGGGGAAAATAATTATCGATAAGTTAGCGAGATGGTTATAAATTTATCATACAAAATTTAAAATATAGGTAAAATCGTTAAAAGATATTGATGTTTCGTTAAAAAATATTGACTACCTATTCCTTATTAGTTTTTTAATATTTGGCAGTTTTTAGATGCAAAGTTATTAAATATACCCACCTAACATTTATATTATTGTAGTTGATGCAAAAATATTATATAATTTATTTAACACTTATTTGTAGAATATAACAATAAGCTTTATTTACAATTTATTTTACACAGATTTAATTTTTGTGTACGATATATTACACCTCTTTTACTTGTTAATATGTATAATTAGGTTTAATATTTTGTATAAAGTAGTCCATTTTGTTCAAGGTTATAATGTTCTTAAAAATTACTCTAACTAGAACTCGATTACATTGATAGCATTTTAATGCTATGTAATACTTATAATAGTCTTGTGTGACTAGGTAGTAAGTACCTATATAATAGTATTATTAATTTAAAACACTTATACTTACATTTCTAAAAGACCTTAAATGGACTAAAAATTAATAACCTTAAAAAGAATCTGATTAAATAAAAGTAAAAGTACATTATTATATTCTTATGAATATTATACCTATATTTACAAGGAAAGATAAATTTTTATGGCCATAAAAAATATTTTTGGTATTTCCTATTTATGTAAAGATTACTTTATTTTAATTGTTTTAAAATTAATAACATTAATTATGTAAAAGAATCATTTTATTAATAGTGTTTAATACAATATATAAGTATTGGATTTATGCTATCTTCTTATAAATTTCATTTATAATTGAATTATAGAAGTAGTTTATTTTATTAATCAAAATTATTGATACATTAGTATAAGTAGGTATTGATATATATTATCACTTTATTATATATTTATGTGGCGCTGAGTAAATTCGTAGTATTTCAACAAATTAAATAATAATATAATACTATTATTTATAAAACTTAGTTTACGTAACATAGGTTTATTTAATAATCCGGTTTTTAAATATTACAAATCATTATAATCTAGGTCTTTAACTCTTAAAAACGATTTTTTATTATACCTACTACCAAACCAAAAATGTATCCTCATTTGTATGCACATTTTAAAATTGTATGATAAAAAAGTTATCAGTGTTCCTATAAATATAAGGAGAGACGTTTATAAAAAAATATGCCTTATTACGAAATGGTAATGAAATAATATTATGTTACGCACGTAATCTGTTTCCAGTATAAAGATGGATGACTCAAAATGAATTAGGTATACAGCAAGTATGTGAGCTTGATTTATGTTTAAGTTTTTATAAATTAGTTCACCCATTTATTAAAACAGTATATGAAGTAAATAGATATGACGAACTTGAAACAATTATCGCGTAATGGTATTTAAAAGTATTAGATAATCAAAATCTGTAATTTATTCAATCTATAAATCTATTTTTTTTAAACGTGGAGAGGTCAGTACCTACCCACATCAAACGGTCTTAATGTCCGTGTTTTAATGGTGTTATTGGATTTATTTTTTATGGTGTAGACTGTAGATGTTGTAATACTGCCTGAATTAAAGCTAGATTTTTTAATATCGTACAGTTAATATAGAGTTATTATTAGCGCATATATACCTATTCTACAACTGGGTAGTTTTTCACTTCTCCTGAACATTTTTGTGAAAGTGTGTGACCATTTATTGTTGTTTATTTTTCTGCTCTTAGATTCAGAATATACTGAGTAGGTAGGTAAGTAAGTAAACAGTAAACGCTRTGTCGCTATCATTTTGATATATAATGTTTCTCAACTTCATAWTAATAGATGATTATACTTAAAAAATAGTTACACATTTAATATATGACATGTATTATTTGTATTTGTGAGTGGATAATAACATGTAGATGAATATGCAATTATCAACAGAAATAATTGTTTGATGGATATATTTTGCTTATAAAACATTATAAAATATAAATTAATTTTGAAATATTTAAAACATAAATAAATACACATTTTCATATTTTATTCAATTTTTAAATATTGCATCAAAACACGTGATTCATGTTACTAATAACTTTTATGCAGTACATACATTTTATATATTGCATGTAGCCTACATATAGAGATATATCTATTACAAAATGTTAATGAGATACTTTATTACTGTTATTTGTATTCATCATTCATCACGATTTTCGAATTTTGAAAATAATAATATTATGTATACCTAGTGGCCAGTACTACGTGTAAAATTGCATTCAATTATGTTAAATGAAAATATTAATATTATTTAATAAAATTTAATTTTTAATATTTCATAATACACGTCACGTGTAAGTATAAATATGCTTACTATTAGCACCAACAAAACTGTTATTGACTAAATACTAAATAGTATAACAGGAGTATATATTTTATATTATTGTGTGATACTCATAAAAAAATGTATGTATTTTGTTTTCTTGAATATTCGTGTCTCCATAATACCTCACTTAACATTACTTTATGTTTTCGAGCCAAGATTAGTCAATATAAACTAAAATACTATGCACATGACTAAAATGCAAGTCATTTATGCAAATTCTCTGTTAATAATATCATTATTATTGCTGACGTCATTTCATAATAATCATTCAGACAGTCGTTACATGACAATATATAATTTGCCACCAAAATATAGTTCAAAATGTAAATATAACACAAAATAACTGTAATGCAATTTGCACTCAAATAAAGTTGGTTGATACTTACTATCTTTTCTATCTATAGTTATATTTCCTATTCACAAAAACATTTATTTGACTGTTTTTATTTTTATTGACATGTGAATAATACTGATTTATTTTAATATCAAACTTCGTGCACATCGTAGTCGGAAATAGATTTATTTTATATACCTGCGTTGAGTGACATTAATTGATGTAATATACTCCATATAACATGGAATAACTGTTATAGAACAATACAATATAGCTGTTTACGCATCGTTAAGACTTGTCACTTGAAATCTCTTGAATTTCCTTCTCAGTTTTACCATTTTATTTTACTTTCTGTTCATAGTATAAGATCGTCTTGGTCCTTGGAGAATAGATACCTACTACATCGTATCAATTTTGTTTAAAAATATACAATTTCAAGTGTCTTGAATCATTTGAGCTTTTATAAAAGCTTGCATAAAAATAGATTGTGAATAATTTTCATGACAAATCTTTTTAATATATCTGTGATACTGTTGTATTTTTTCAAAGTTTTTGGTATTCGATTTTACCTAGGACTGAATAGTAAGTAAAATACTGGAATTCATTTTTATACAATAAATTATAGTGTTATGATATAATTTATCTTGTAAAATATTTGAAAAAGTAATTCCTTGAACTAGTAAGTTTTTAAAACATTAAAAAAAATGTTTGGGGTATTATTAAATACTAATAATATTATTATTCAGGAAGGAAAAAATTATTTAGGTTAGAACTTTTATTGCTGAAGCTGACACTAATAAAAAAAAACCCCCATTGGAACATAATAGTGTAATACAATCAATAAAATGTAATTATTATTATATGAATTCACTTATTAACTATTATGCGGTCTTGAATTCGTTATACTGTGATGATATACCGATCAATGCATTTCGGGATTCAGATAATTCTACGTCGTTTAATGTTATACTATACTCTGATAAAACAACGAAAAAACAAATAGTTCATTTGGCTAATAATTTAAAAACATTTTATGCGAATATGCCATATTGTCACCAATTAAGAATTGTAATAAAACATTTATAGGATACTATAGTACCTAGAAATACTAGATATAATAGTATATATATATATATATATATATAATATCATAATTATGTAATGCATAGATACTGTCATACTGACATATGATATGACCAACAGATTATTTGGTATACGTGGGTAGTAGTACGAACGTGCTTGCGCAGAATAACGCAGGAAATGAGGATATCGTCACAATGGGTAATTAATAATAATGGTAAACTGACGACTTAATAGTTACTTAAAGTTTCACTGTAATAAAATAATATTATATTATACAGGCATTAAACTTCTTAATAAGACGCCTAGCTGTTGGTATCTATTCGTTCGTAAAAGTTAATCCGACATGTATATCTAGATAGGCGTCTTGCAGGCCTGTGACATAAAAAATAATATGTCGCGACGATGCGTGCGCGAAAACTATTTCAAAATTAATAGGTATAAGCTATTATGTTCGTTAAACGGGTGAGGTTTCTTCGCGATACCAGTCAAACCCGATTGTCAGTTTTATATTCGCCGATAGATGTCTATATGTACTTATGTAATACGGTTTGCGAAGGATATTTCATCCTCTCTCGAAAAATAAAAAAATTATATATGAATATCGAGAACACCGCCTCGGGCTTTCCACTGTAGACCGCTCTACATTTATGCTATAAGCCTACCCACGTGTATACACACGCACTAATGACAACTTTTATTTTTATATTTTTTTCCAAGGGCGCCAACGCAAAAAATGTACCTGCAACGCTCGACATAACATTTGAAAGAATATTGTGAACGAAAAGTGAAAGAAAAATTTTAAAAAAAACGGTTCGTATAATATAATATAATAATAATATTATGTGATCTACATATGCCCAGAAATATTGTTCTCATTATATTATTATTAACGTTAGTATTTAGTATACAATTATACATGAATGACTATACTCAGATCTCGAGTGTTTCAAGAAGGTCGATTAATGAATTATCGGTTAATATTTGGAAGGTCGACTTTAGTCGATGGACTGTCGAAAGGCCTCATACATATATAGTATACTCGTACATTATACATTAACCATATTGGTCATATACATCAATATAAATTGTTATTTTAATTTCAGATGGCTGAAGGACCAAGATTGTCCGTTCTACTAATCGTTTTCCTCGTTTTCAACTCGGCATATTCAGGTAATTAAGCTTAGGTTTTACTTTTTATTTGAATTATTATTTGTGATGGCGTGGTTAGGAAATTATAAAAAGATTTTACCAAAAAATACAATTACAAAACGATTTATTTTTACTGTAGGTATTTATAATTACAATTATGAAGGGATTATTTATTTAAATTTACGTTGGTTAATACAAAATACTAATTATTTAAATATTTATTAAATTCAAAACAAAAAAATAAAATTTACATAGGACAAATTTTAATTGTTAAAAATAATAATTCTAGTTTATTTTAAACATATATTAACCAAGATAGGTATGTACCTAAAACGGCCATAAGATAATTATTAATCTAAACGATTTAAATTAATTAATATAGATATATGTACTTACTTAATATCGGAAAACAATTATCATACACACCAACGCATACATAAATTAATTTTGTAAAAAAAATTTGATTTAACTCTTTCTAATTCGTACAAAAATTTAAATTTATAATTTTAGAGAGTGCACAAAAATGCGAGAGTACGCCTATGAAACAGATCATTTGCGAATTTGGAACTGCCAAAGACATACCTAACTTTGACAGTTGTTTGTGTACACACATCGCAGTTCCGGTCACCTTAGAATCGGAAAAAGACGACGAAACTTCGGGTAAATATAGTAATATAATATAATTCAATTGTATTATCGATTACGACGTGATATCCACATCATGAACGACTTATTAATTTTATATCATCAATCGTGTGTATAAGACTTTACGTCGACGATCAAATCGTACAAACAAACCAATGGCAATCTTAAGTCGTTGGCTGCTATTTCCATGTACGCGGAAGACGTTGCAAAGAAGACAAACCAGATTTGCAGCGAGATCGTCAGTGTGTTAACATACTACGATGGCGTACAATTGGATCTAAGGCAATCTGACGTGTCCGTAGATAAATCACTAGTTGTGCATTTCTTCAAGGTGAGTTGGTCAACATAATATGGCACACCCTACTATATAATGTACCGATGGCATTCCAGCAAAACTATACCACAGCGTACATTATAATCATAACTACGTACGTACTTTTATTATGTGATTATTACACGAACGATAATAATTTATTATTATACATTTATACCGTCTAAACACGGAGGTTTCCTTTTTTTTTAATGGTATTACTTTACTCGTATACGACTGTCCGTCTCAAGTTCCAAATGATGAATAGATAGGTAACTGATATACATAGACACATAGTAGCCATAGCCTTAAACTTGAATTTCACATCATGGTGTGATGTAATAGGTACAACTTGACGTCCGAACTAATAACATAGACATGTTAATTTGCCCGATCGACGGCAGAAGATAAATTATACCTAATCCCACACGCAGAAGCAACGTCAGATATTATTATTATGTTCGTCATATTTACGCAATAACGGGAAGCTCAAGGTCACAATAGGAACTGGCCATTCATAATAATAAATAAAATCTAATCCGAAACCAAAACCGAAACGTGAGACATATTATTGATTGGTGTAATGGAAAATTGGAAAAGCATTATTTTCTAATTTACTGCATAATATATACAGATATATTTTATATATATCATATTATATAATATATGTGTGTGTACAAATTATATCGACGGCAGTGCAAGTTTTTTCATTAAAAATAGGTACACTCTGTTTCTATCTACCTATTAAGTAAAATAATATTTGGATATAAGAAATAAAATCTGAAAAGATATGAATAATATTGTTTATTATTGCGTATTTAAAATGCAATTTTTAATTTAATTTTTATAATTTACATTAATTTTTTCTTTTGATTATTTATATTATTTTTTTCTAACTTATCAACAATGAGCAGTTTAAATAGTAATCATTTTCATAGGAACTATCGTCAGAAATCGAGAATAAATTTAAAATAGATTCGGCAAATAGTTCTTTAAAAATATTTAACAGTTCAAAAGAAATCCAAATGGTGCTTCCTCCAAATGCTGCCATATTGACGAAATTTTATGATCTCAAAAAACTTTCCAAGTAAGATGTACAATCATCTAAACTAACTCTAAGTGAAATACCAAGATGTGTTCTAAAAATTTTAGATATGTGAATTTCTTCATAATTGCAACACACAATCTTGTGGACAATTCTGAACAAGGTTATTCCTACCACCCTAGTCGCCTTATGGGAGCCGACGATTTACTCAATGCTGTAAGCAATTTGAAAAAATTAACAAGTGTAGGAATACAATTATTAATTTGTAAGTTTTTAAACATTTCAGGATTCCTTAGTCGATCTTGTAATTGGACTTGGTATTGAGCATTCATCTATACTTTTATCATTGCCTTCTACTGCAAGTAAATTTGAGCTCAAGGATCCCACCAGGAATACTCCTCGATCACTAGTAATCGGATTACCAACAACAATTACACGCCAAAAAGTAAATAAAAATTACAATATTTAGGAGTTATAAAGAACAATTGTTACACGGGTACCTAGTAGCAATATTTTTTATAAAATTAAATTAGCTTTGGGTGTAAACATTAAATGTGTTGGTCATAAATTAGGTATTGTTTGAGTCCTAATCACGATATTATAATCTTTTACTCAAGTTTTATTTAATTTATTTGTTATTGTTTTATTTTAACTCTTAAAAGTTTCAATATAAAATAGTTAAACAGATTTTAGTAGGTATATCTACTATTTAAAAATGGAAAAAATATATCTGTTACATTTAACCCAAGCTTTGTTTTAATTATTGTTTACACATACTTATAAATGTACTATTTTGATCGATCGATTGATTGATGATAATAAGATGAAAAATTAAAACTTTAAGTCTTGCTAAAAATTATTTATAACATAAAAAATGCATTTGTATTTTTTCTTTCTTATGATTAACTCGACACAACTTAAATATTTGACAATATTTTAGATGTGTGAAGAAATGAAAGAAGGCAATTGGACTATCGAAAGAGATGAAGATTTAACAGCACCATATGCATTTATGAATAAAACATGGATGTCATTTGATGACAGTGTCAGCGTTTCAATTAAGGCATGTATAATCATTTTTAATTTTAAAAATATTTACCACCTAATTAAAATCAAACATTTCTATATTTTAGGGCAAATACATATTGTTACGAGATTTAGCTGGAGCAGTTATTACTGACGTAGAAGCGTTGGATTGGAAACTGACATGCTTAAACCAAACTGCAGTAGAACCTTTAAAAGAACTTACAAAAACTTTCACTGAAACTGCAAGGAAATCTAGATCAGCTCAATTATTAAGTTTACAGGAACAATTACAAAGACCGGCTGATCAAGGATTTTATTTTAACAGTACTATAATAAACTGTTGATGTTTAAATTCACATAATTTCACTAATTAATTTTATATTAGATGAAATCAGTTATTCACCATATTACATCGAGAGAGTGGTTACAAGGGACGGCGAAGTTCATGCAATTCGAAAAGATACAAAAACCGAATTTGAATGTTCACGACAAGGGTACTTTAGACATCCAAGTGGTTGTAATCGATTTTATCGTTGCGTGAAATTTGACCAAAACTCTAACTATTTTACGGTCTACGAATATGATTGTCCTGATGGTTTAGCGTTTGATGAAAAAGTTGAGGTATGCGTATGGCCAGGATCTTTATCAAATACAGGAGCTTGTCAAGGTAAACAGTCGATAGTTTTACAAAATTCAATACGAAAATCAAAATATTTGTTTATATATTATTTTTAGGTTCAAGTGAAATAGCTCCGGTTCCTCGAAATCAATTTGTCTGTCCACCCATAGAAGGTTACTACGCTGATCCTGAAAACTGTCGGTGGTTTTTCGCTTGTCTTGATCATGCTAAAGATGGTTATACTCCACTTACAGCATACGAATTCAGATGTCCTTTTGGATTAGTGTTTGACGAAAAAACATTAAAATGTGATTGGGAATGGAAAGTGGGATCTTGTGGTACCTATATCAAAATAATATTTTATTCTTTATTTGTATTATAATTATTATTATATACTAGTCAATAATGTTTTATTTTATTCTAGGAGCCTCAGGAAAATCATATAACTACGGAGAACAACCTTACCAAACAAATCAATTCAATGCATTCTACGAAAAAGAACAATCCGTTCCTTATTATGGAAAATATAATCAAGATCAACCACAATTTTCATTTGATCTCAAAGACTCTTATATCTCTCCGAGTAAATTTAATTTCCCTTATTCTACAACTAGTAAACCCTATTTACCGTATGTATCTACAGAAAATTATGTTACACCCAATGCACCTCAGTTCTTATATAGTTCAGCTCAACCATACGCACCACCAAACGGTCCTCAGATTTTATATGGTTCACCAGAAACCCATGTTAACCATAATCAATATCAGTCATTATATGGAATAACTGGAACTTACTCTTCAACAAAAAGTCCTGAATTCCCATATGGATCTACGGAATCATATGCCACTACAAGTAAACCACAATTATTTTACAGTCAAAATGAAGGTTATTCCAGCACAAGCAAACCTCAATCATTTTATGGATCTTCAGAATCTTATTCTACTACGAGCAGACCTCAATCATTTTATGGGTCTTTAGAATCTCATTCTACTACAAGCAGACCTCAATCATTTTACGGATCTTCAGAATCATATTCTACTACAAGCAAACCTCAATTCTCATATGAATCTTCTACGATCAAACCACAATTCCCATACATCAAAACAGATGCTTTTATAACACCAAATCTTCATAGTAGATTACCAAACTTCGATTTGAATAATTATAAACATTTTGGAATACTTTATCATCAACAACGCGATTCTGAAGTAGAACGACAACGTCATACCGGAGTTCTTCTTCACCAACAAAATAATTTTGATAGTATACCAGTAAATAAGAACTACGATTCTCATAAAAACGATGTACAATATCCACCAATAAAAGATTTTGAATCATTTTCTACAACTCAAGGACCTTTAAATAAAATACCCAGTGCCAGACTTCACTCAGAAAGTTATTCTTCATCTAATATCTTCTCAAAACCATTATCATCTTATGAAAATAATGAATTCAAAAATTCATATACTATTTTGGGAGGAGCAAATGGATACGATTCTCACAAAGTTAACGAACAATATCAGCCTTCATATTATAACATAGAAGCATATTCAACAACTCTTAAACCCGTTATTAAATTGGCCGAGGTACCAAATTACACAGAATCAAACATTTATGTAAAGCCTACTTCTAAACCATTTGATGAATATTTGCACGAAGTAAAATTAAACGAAGAATCAAAATTACAATATTCTACTACTAGTAGTTCACCTTATTTATCTTCGTCTCCCAGTATTGAGTTTAACGATTACCATATTTCTTCTTCTACACAAAAACCAACTTTACATGACACCAGTTTACATAAAGAAAAATTCAAGGCTCAATTTAATTTTGATGATTATCTATCAAGGCTTTCCAGTCACCAATATCCATCTACTACTGCTTCTGTGGTCGACTATACACCGTCTGTTCATGGAAATAGCTTTGCACAAACGTTATCTACATATTCATCTACCACCTCAAAGCCATCTGTATTTTACTATAGCTCGCCGTCGCCAGTATCAGATGCATCTAATTTCCCGTCATATTCAACATCACCAAAAGTGAAAGAATACTCCGAGAGTTATGGTTCTTCATTATCATATCCCATAACTACTGAAAAATCCATAGATTATAATTCGCCTATTTCTTCAACTTATGCTCCACTAGTGTACAGTCCTTCAGTTACTCCAAGTGCATATACACCTACATTCAAACCAACGGTTGACTATTATGCTCCATCGTCTACAATTACTAATGACGATTCCGTTTTTGTCGAAGAGCTTATCTCCAAATTGTCAAAAAACCCAATCCCAATTACATACTCCACTAGTACTACTAAACCAATATATGCAAACTATCCATACCAACAAGCTGGAGATTATATACCAAACGATTCTTTCAATATTGACGAGTATATATCAAAATTATCCGAATCTATTGAAGATTCTACACCAAAACCATTATACTCTAGCACTTCTCAAAAACCATATGCTGTACCTTACAGTTCAAATGACTATTCATCTCGCCCACTACCCACTTCAGTTTATTTATCTTCAACCGAAGAACCTAAGGCGTTTGATCATGAGTCGTATTCAGCACTTCCTGTTCAATCAACTACGTGTAAACCTGAAGCATCGATAAAAATATCAGCCCCTAAAATACCATATATTCCATCACTTGAATCTGTTTTTAGTGTGAAACCTCCTGTAGCATACACCCAAAGACCAGAACCGTTGATTGGCTATTCTAGCACGGCTTCTGACTTAATAAATTATTATCATAATATTCACTCGTCTTTAGATTCAGCTTATCGTTCACCATTACCTAGATATTATGCTGCTCCTGTGGGAAATTCAGTCTACACAAATAATTATACATTGCCCAGAGAATATGAGAAAGACGGTGGACATCATTTACATGCAGCTTATCCGGCGTACCCTCTGAATCATCCAATAGTGGTTGAACCAGTTAGTCCAGAATTAAATGCAGAATTCGAGCGATACTATACAGCTGGAATAAGACAGAACTTGAAGAGCGAAGAAAACGGAAAAGTGCTTGTAACCGGTGACAATAGTCCTTTGATTGTAGGTAAATTGGGAGCTCAGTGTGACTGTGCAAAAAAGAAAAAGCCAACGATTGTATCAACCACAACCAGGACAGTAATTGAACACGACGAAGACGACGACGATGAAAAAACGCCGATTGTAAAGGAAGTAGAAACAAAGACCAAAGTAGTATTGGATGAAGTAAAAAAACCATCAAATAAAAAGTTATGTACCCGCGCAGGATTATTTAGAGATCCAAAACAATGTAATAAATTCTACTCGTGTAATTGGGACAAATGGACACAAAAGTATGAACTTAGTGAGTTTAAATGTCCAATTCACCTCGCTTTTGACGAAAACCTAAGCGCTTGTAACTGGCCATCTAAAGGACCAGCGTGCTCACACGATACCCTCATTAATTACTCAAATTAATTTTTTCGAAATCAAGAATACCTATTCAAAAATGAACATAACTTTTCATACGGAACACGTTTCAGTGTTTTTAAAAAACAATATAAATTTGTAAACATGTACACATATATTATTTAAGTGATAATAATTATTGTTCTTAATGTGTATACTTATACAATATACATGTTATAAGTAACACAATAATATTATTAATGTATTTTATGTATTTAAATTTGTAAGGTAGATAGGTATAACGGGTTGACTTATCACCAAAATATTATGCAAGTATTAAGTGTACATATTGTAGTTTTCAATTATTTTACATACTTATTCAAACGCAATGAATGTTACAGTGCATCATAATACGTATTTTAAATATAAAATATAGATTAAAATAATATATTGTATAATACTAAACTTAACTTAAATCTGTTTTTATTATTTAGTAGTTAATAAAAGACAATTATCAGAGACAATAAAAGTATTAAAACTGTGTTATGCAAAATTCAAATTGTGATTAACAATATTGTACAAATTTCAGCAGCTAAAATCATTCAACATGACATCAAATCGGTTTACAATAAGCAAAATCTTTACTTTTTTCTTACAAGTACATGAGTAAGACACAATATTTATAAATTCGGTAAATAGTAAATATATTTCATATCATCAATGTATTATGTTATAAATTATTTGTAAATAATAAATATTTTTAACAGCTATAGTTGTTATCATTGTTTTACTTTAACATGAATAATATGTTGTTTTTTTTTACTGCCTACGGAGTACGGATACTTGTAAGAAAAAAGTAAATATATTTCATATCATCAATGTATTATGTTATAAATTATTTGTAAATAATAAATATTTTTAACAGCTATAGTTGTTATCATTGTTTTACTTTAACATGAATAATATGTTGTTTTTTTTTACTGCCTACKGAGTACGGATACTTCTTAATACCCTACCTACCCATTTATTTCATAATATTATATTGTATTTCATATTTTCTTATTTTTTCTCAGTTATTTTCTGACTGATTTCGCGTAAACATTTAAAATTTTATCCACACAACGGTAGCCATATAAGATCTCGTTAATCATAGCAAGTACCTACTATAGATATGTAACTATGTAAGTAAATAAGTTATTATTGATCGTTTTATTTACTCGTTGCTAAGTGTTGATAACAACTTTAAAAATCGAAAGCTGGTACATCGTGTACTTCGTTTGACTAGGTCAAGTACAAGGAGTATGATTATTGATCAGCGACAGACTGGCCCATTTTTATGAAAATAATAAAAATCTGAACTATACCGTTATATAACCAACCAGTGGCGTACGCAGGATTTTACATTGGGGGGGGGGGCTTGAAAATGGATTTACCGAGTGATATCCTCGAATTAGAAACACCCTTTTAG